TTTATTTTGTATTGGAGACTACATTTTGGAGGTTTTATATAGCGTTCCGTTACGTTTTGAAGTAACCTCCCTACCTTCGGAATGGGGGTGTTACAATTATGGTATCAGAGCCTAGGTTCAATCTTGTAGAAAGCCAAGTAGGTTTGACCTGTGAGTGTGRGTAGAATTGGRGTTTAGAACTTATTTAAATTAGATTTGTTCCCTATGCGTAGTAAATTTTGTCCTTTCAATTTAGGATGGCTCGTCGATCTCAACGTGTGGCTAGTAGGCGTAACCGTACTTCAGCCGGAGGCCCTGAGTCTTCTCATCCGGATGCTAATGAGGGTGAAGTGGACCCATCTATTCTGGCAGCTGTGAATCAGGCAGTCTCTACCTTACTGCCYAGCATCGTGGCCCAAGTAGTCGAGGCAGCTCAGCAGCACTCTACCGGAGGACCTCCACCAGTCATGGAGACATTAGGGGGTAGTAACCCAAACCAAGCCAGAGACACTAGTGGGGCAACACCAGATGGGGCCATCCATGTGTGGCTTGAGAGGTTTCAGAAACAGAAGCCTCAATCCTTCAGTTCGGCACCGACTCCCRTGGATGCAGAAAACTGGGTCTCACACATACAGAAGATTTTTGAGGTTTTGGGGTGTCCAGAACTGTATAAGGTTAAGTTGGCGGCATACAAATTGGAAGGAGATGCTCAAAGATGGTGGGATGCRATCAAGCAAGCTAAAGGAAATGAATACGTTGATGCCCTTTCATGGATGGGGTTCCGTGAGGCATTCTATCAGCAGTATTTCTCAGCTGCGGATAAGAATGCATTTGTGAGAGAGTATGCCACAATTCGCCAACGAGATGATGAGTCTATAACAGAGTATTTGGCAAGATTCTTGAGGCTCGCTGGTTTTGCAGGGTCGTCAGCCGGGACATCTCTAGAGCAGGCTGAAAAGTTTAAGTGGACAATTCATTACCGGTACCGTTCCAAACTTATCAATGAGAAATTTACGGATGTGGCACARGCGGCAGATGCTGCCAAGAATATTGAGATGGAGCGACAAGACTTTTTGGCATCCAAATCAGATGGGGGAAAGAAAAGAAGTCGAGATGGGCAACAAACTCAGCAGCAAGGTGGTAACAGTGGGAATCAGTGGGGACATAATAATAGCAAGAGTCAGGGGCAGTGGCAAGGTCAAAATCAGGGTCAGAGGCAACCGTACCGTCAACAAGGTCATCAGGGACAGGGGCAGAATCAGACTCGTTTTCAAAGGTCAGGCGACAAGGGTAATCACGATTCGGTCCCTCAATGCAATTCATGTGGAAAGCGCCATCCCGGAAACGTGTGTTATAGGGCTTCCGGAGCTTGCTTTTTGTGCGGTGAGGTGGGACATTTGGCGAGAGATTGCAAGAAATCTCGTAGCACCGACAAAGGAAATGACACTAAGGCAACTAGTGGAGGTAGGGTGTTTGCCTTATCAGCTAACCAGGCAGCAAATTCAGGTGTGATTTCGAGAATTCTTTCGATTGGCACACATGATGTTTATGCTTTATTTGATACGGGGCAACCCATTCTATGGTTTCTTTGATTTTTGCTAATCATCTTAGAATGCCTTATACATCGTTAGAATCGACTCTAGTTATTGCTACTCCTTTGGGTAATTCGGTAGTTATATCTCGAGAATTTAAAGGGTGTCTTTTAAAAGTATGAGGTAAAATTTGTAAGTGCCATCTCTGTGTATTTTAAGACCTAGTTCGATTTCGAGGACGAAATCTTTTCTTTTGGGGGGAAGAATTATAATACCCGTCAGATGTGTGTGTGT